CCCGGGTACCATGTGAAGAAGGTCTTATCTTCCTCTTCACCTTTCACCATGGTTGTAGGTTTCCTGAAGCCTCTCTAACCATGTGAAAATGTGAATCAATTAAACTTTTGTTAAAAAATGAACTACCCAGTCTCAGGTAATTCTTTATAGTAGTGCAAAATGGACTAATACTGTAAATTGGTACTGAGGTGGTAAGGGCACTACTATAAAGATACCTCAAAATGTGGAAATGACTTTGAAACTGGGTAATGGGCAGAGGTTGGAACAGTTTGGAGGTCTCAGAAAAAGACAGGAACATGTGGGAAAGTTTGGAACTTTCTAGAGACTTGTTGAATGGTTTAGACCAAAATGCTGATAGTGATGTGGAATATGAGGTCCAGGCTGAGGTAGTCTCTGATGAGGATGGGGAACTTAACAGGAACTGGAGCAAAGATCACTCTTAACTGTGCTTTAGCAAAGATACTGGCAACATTTTGCCTCTGCCCTGGAGATCTGTGTAACTTTGAACTTGAGAAAGTTGATCTGAAATTGGAACTTATGTTTAAAAGGGAAGCAGAGCATAAAAATTTGGAAAATTTGCAGCCTGATGATGCAATAGAAAAGAAAAGACAACTTTCTTGGGGGAAATGCAGCCCACTGCAGAAATTTGCATAAAAAATGAACCAAATGTTAATCACCAAAATAAGGGGAAAACAGCTTCAGGGATTATCAGAGATCTTTGAGGCAGCCTCTCCCATCACAGACTTAGAGGCCTAGGAAGGAATGGTTTTGCAGGCCTGGGCCCCACTGCTGTGTGCATCCTCAGGACTTGGTGGTCTGTGTCTTAGCTGCTTCAGCTGCAGCCATGGCTAAAAGGGGCCAACAGACAGCTTGAGCCATTACTTCAGAGGATGAAAGTCCTAAGCTTTGGCAGCTTTCACATGGTGTTGGTCCTGTGGGTACACAGAATTCAAAACCTCCACCTAGATTCATAGGATGTATGGAAATGCTTAGATGTCCAGAGGTGTGTTGCAAGTGGGGATCCCTCATGGAGAACCTCTGCTAGGTCAATGAAGAAGAGAAATGTAGGATTGAAGCCCCCACACAAAGGCCCCACTGGGGTACTACATAGTGAAGCTGTGGGAAGAGGGCCACCCATTCTCCAGACCCCACAATGGTAGGTCCACTGACAGCTTGCACTCAATGCCAGCAATGAAAGCAGCCAGGGCAGGGGGGCCTTACCCTGTAAAATCACTGAGACAGATCTTCCCCAAACTGTGGAAACTCACTTCTTGCATCAGTGTAACCTGAATGTGAGACATAGAATCAAAGGAAATTATTTTGGAACTTTAAGGCTTAATAATTGCCCTATTGGATTTCAGACTTTCACAGACCCTTTGGCACCTTTTGTTTTGGCCAATTTATCCTATTTGGGATGGGAGCATTTTCCCAGTACCTGTATTCTTGTATCTTGTAAATGACTAATGTGCTTTTGATTTTATGAGCTCATATGTGGAAAGGACTTGCCCTTTCTTAGATGAGACTTTGGACATGGACTTTTGGGTTAATGCTGAAGTGAATTAAGACTTTGAGAGCTGTTGGGAAGCCGTGATTGTGTTTTGAAATGTGAGAACATGAGATTTTGGAGCAGCCAAGAGGCAGAATGATATGGTTTGGCTCTGTGTCCCCACCCAAATCTCATCTTAAATTGCAATCCCCATAATCTCCGTGTGTTGAGGGAGGGACCCAGTGGGATGTGATTGGATCATGGGGGCAGTTTCTCCCATGCTGTTCTCATGATAGTGAGTGAGTTCTCATGAGATTTGATGGTTTAATAAGCATCTGGCATTTTCCCTGTTTGTGTTTCTCTCTTCTGCCACCATGTGAAGAGGTCCCTGCTTCCCCTTCCACCATGATGGTAATTTTCATGAGGCCTCCCCAGCCTTGTGCAACTGTGAGTCAGTTTTACCTCTTTTTAAAATAAATTTCCCAGTCTTGGGTGTTTCCTTATAGCAGTACAAAAATGGACTAATATAGTCTGCTTTTAAGAGTTTGCCTCTGCCGGGCGCGGTGGCTCAAGCCTGTAATCCCAGCACTTTGGGAGGCCAAGGCGGGTGGATCACGAGGTCGAGAGATCGAGACCATCCTGGTCAACATGGTGAAACCCCGTCTTTACTAAAAATAAAAAAAATAGCTGGGCCTGGTGGCGCGTGCCTGTAATCCCAGCTACTCAGGAGGCTGAGGCAGGAGAATTGCCTGAACCCAGGAGGTGGAGGTTGCGGTGAGCCGAGATCGTGCCATCGCACTCCAGCCTGGGTAACAAGAGCGAAACTCCATCTCAAAAAAAAAAAAAAAAAAAAAAAAAAGAGTTTGCCTCTAATCTTAGGTTTTCAGCAGAGTATCAGTATAGGTTTTCTTGGTATATAGCATTTTGGGGGTTTGTTGAAATTTCGATTTTGTGAGTTTATTTCTTTCATCAATTCTGGAAACCTTTCAGCTATTGTTTCTTTAAATACTGCCTATGTTCATTTTCTCCTCTATTGTTAGAATTTCAATAAAACATGTTTTATCACTTGACTCTACACCACACATTTTTTGTACTCTGTTTTGTTTGTGGTTGTGTACACACTTTTGTTTTTCTATACTTCAGTTTGGATATTTTTACATGACACTTTCTCTAAGTTCAATAAGTTTCTATTGTGCTGTTTTCATTTGATTCTTAACACCTCTGACAAATTGTTATTTCTGATATTTTTGAAATTTTAAGATAGCACATGATTTATTATGAGTCAATTTTATTTTGAATTTCTTTAAAAATTTTTTTCCATCTATTTTCTTTAATTCCTTTATCTATTTTAAAGACCTTAACACTAATTCTAGCACCTGAATCTGAATGTCTACTTCTACTGAATATTTATTTTCTCTATTTGTTCATAGTTGTTTTGCTTCTTTGTGTATCTTTTAATTTTTATTGAAATCATATTTTTAAACAAAAAAAGTAATGACAAAAGTTTATATAACTTACTCTCACCAACAAGATTGTTCACTGTTTCTTTAGCCACTCAAAAATTTAACTCAGAGGGACCTGGGTAACACTTTTAGTTTGAGTCAGTCCCACTTCTCATTTCTAAAGTCTCAAATAATAAACCTTCTTAGGTTTTAAAAATCAGTAATCTGGGGCCGGGCGCGGTGGCTCAAGCCTGTAATCCCAGCACTTTGGGAGGCCGAGACGGGTGGATCACGAGGTCAAGAGATCGAGACCATCCCAGTCAACATAGTGAAACCCCGTCTCTACTACAAATACAAAAAATTAGCTGGGCATGGTGGTGCGTGCCTGTAATCCCAGCTACTCAGGAGGCTGAGGCAGGAGAATTGCCTGAACCCAGGAGGCGGAGGTTGCGGTGAGCCGAGATCGCGCCATTGCACTCCAGCCTGGGTAACGAGTGAAACTCCGTCTCAAAAAAAAAAAAAAAAAAAAAAAAAAAAAAAATCAGTAATCTGGTTAGTTTCTTCTATCCTAAGAGACTAATAAACACACACACACACACACACACACACACACACACAGACAGAGTATATACATATACACATATATACATATGGAAATATATATATGTATACTATATATGTGTGTGTCTATATATTAGTCTTTTGAGATAGAAGAACCTACCACCATGTTATATTAACATCATATATATAACAATACACAAAACATCATATATATTATATATATGAGTATATGATATATATAATAAAAGCTCTTTTGTATGTGTTTGCTTTTCTGCTGTTTTGACATCTGCTCATATATATGTATATATGTATCTTAAATGCTCATATATGTATCAAACAACAGAAAAGTGAACATACATATATAGAGAGAGCTTTTATTATATACATTATATTATATATATATATATATATATATATATATACAGCTTTTCTGCTGTTTTGACATCTGGTCTTATATATCACCTGGAGTGACTTTCAAATATGGCATGTTTTGATGAGCATTCAAGTTGTATATTTGAGTCAGTCCCCTTTTCTTATTGAGACTTTTTCTATGAGACAATGGGAAAGTCAGTCTTCTCATAAGAAGCTACCTAGACTCTAGGAAAGCAACCTGATTTGGCAAAGTTTTAGAACTTTTCATGCTAGATATAACCTCCTCATGTTTGGTTCTTTCTTACCTCATTACCATTATTCCATTCAGGCTAAATAGAGGCCTGATCTTCAGTCCATATGCAGAGTTGACAAACATAACCAGGTAAAAAATGGCCAGAGACCCTATGTTTACTTGAAACATGTCCTTCCTACTTAGGTTCGGTTCATTTAATTGTCTTTGTTTCCACAACTTTCCTTTGAACACACACATGCACACAGAATTTGTTGTTCCAATTTGCAGTGGGAGCGTTTTTCTTTTCCATCCTATTGTATCTTATTTGGAGCATTCCATATAATTTTGTGTTAGCTTATCATGCTTCATTTTTGCAAATAGAATTTATCTACATGTATATTGCAATAAGATACATGTAATGCATATTATACATCTCTTTGATTACTTATTTAATAATTGGCTGCCCTACTAGAATGCAGATACTTTGAGAACAGATACTTTGTTTCCTCAGTGTTTTTTTTTTTTGTTTATAACTTAGAATAGTGCTTAATAAATATTTTCCAAATTAATGAAATAATAGTAGAATGCTTACCAGCAATTAAGAGTAATATAACAAAATATATTTAATGCTTTGGAAAGTTATTAGGTTATTTTCTCACAGTGAACATTCTTATAAAATTATGTAGGTACAAATTTTATAAGGTGAAGTGCATTCCTACACTACATGCAGAAATGTATGTTTACTCGATAGATATGGGGGTAGGGGAGAGAGAGAGAGAGAGAGAGAGAGAAATTTAGGTAGACTTATAACTGTATAGGCATTTTTAAAAGCAACAATTAGTTAAACATACCGTTAGTACATATAACTTTATGCTTTAAGCACTTATTTTGTTTTTATTGTTTGTAGATTGCAATGAACTTCCTCCAAGAAAAAGTACAGAAATTCTGACAGGTTCCTGGCCTGACCAAGCATATCCAGAAGGCACTCAGGCTGTCTATAAATGCCGCCCTGGATATAGATCTCTCGGAAATATAATAATGATATGCAAGCTTGGAACATGGGTGGCTCTTAATCCATTGAAGACATGTCAGAGTAAGTACTTCCTACATTTGTGAAGTTTATGAAAACTTCCCGTTGTGAAAATACTTAAGATTTAATATTGTAGCAATTATGGCTGAATTATATCACGATTGTCACTCAAATACAAAATTATACCTCATCATTTTTTTTGAGTCAGAGTCTGGCTCTGTCACCCAGGCTGGAGTAGTGCAGTGGCGCAATCTCGGCTCACTGCACCCTCTACCTCCCGGGTTCAAGCAATTCTCCTGCCTTAGCCTCCCAAGTAGTTGGGACTACAGGCATGTGCCACCACATCTGACTATTTTTTGTATTTTTAATAGAGATGGGGTTTTACCATAATGGCCAGGCTGGTCTCAAACCCCTGGCCTCATGATCTGCCCGCCTTTGCCTCCTAAAGTGCTGGGATTACAGGCGTGAGCCCCCATGCCCGGCCAATACATCATCAGTTTTAAAAATGGGTGGTCATCCTCCAAAATTCAAAAAGCAAGCATATAGTTTAAGTTCAGTTATGAAATAATAGCTTTGCCATATTTAATTTTCTTATATTCAGTCTGTCTTATATAATATCAAATATCCTCATTCCCCCACTTCTACATAAAATATATTCCTTGTTATTCCATACTAATTCATATCTTTTTTTTCATTTTAGAAAGGCCCTGTGGATTTCCTGGAGAGACTCCCTTTGGTTCTTTTAAGCTCACAGTAGGAAATGCATTTGAATATGGTGCAAAAGTTGTATATACATGTAATGAGGGGTATGTAGTCCATACCAAAAGAGGCTTATTATTAAGATAGTAAATGGAAACTGTACTACATTATATGTTTTAAAAGTTGTTGTATTTTTCTATGAGCATTAAAAAAGTAATACGCAATTACCTGAAAATTTACCTGTGATGGAAATAATTATATCTGGATACCACATTATCTCCTTAACATTGAAAAATTTAAATAAAGTATAACTTCTCTCATAGGGTATAATTATAGGAGACTGGGAAACAGTAAGTATGCACAGATATAATTATTCACCCAACAAATCTTCACTACATTATATTTTGTGCAGAGTATCATGGGAGTTCAATGTATCAGGAACAATAGGAATTGTAACACGTTTATATTGTATGGTAACTGTTTTGACAGATTTTATAAAATGTGAAGGAAGCAAGACTTTTACCTACAACTAGTGTTACTTCATGTCCCAGGCCTGCAAATTATTCTTACCTCATGGACTAAAAGTACTGTTCTTTCAGAATCATTGACTCTGTTCCTTCCAACAAACTACTTGGTTTTCATTGGGAGATTCTTCCCTGTACATCCTCAGTGCTCTTTTGTCCCCCTTATTCTCTGCTAGATCAAAAACTACTTTGAAGAAAAATTTATATATGGGAAAACCAGGATTAGATCACTGTAATCTTATACTTAATAAACAGACATGTAATCAAATATTACAAATAGAATAACATTATTCTTCTCTCATGGTTTTCTTAATTTGAAACAGTAAAATATAATAGTTTAAAGCTTAGGCACTGGAGTAAGCCTGCTTTTCTCTACCACTTAACACTTACGGGTATTTATAAAAATATCTCTTCACTTCCATTTTCTCTCCTACAAAACAGAAACATTTTATGTACGATCGTCGGAAAAATTAGTAAGACACACATTTGCAGCCCTTAGAAGAGATCTTGAGATACTGTAGATACCAAATAAGTATAATTTTTTATGAATTTATTCTCTCCTTAGTCACTACCTGAGGGAGGTTTTTCAAATACATTTTTAGCCCTTCAATCATTACTGCTGATTTTATCACACATAACCAAATAGGTTATAATTTCCTGGGCCTCAATTTTTAAAATTTGCTATCCTCCTCACCTCTGAAATATTTATTTTACTACAGGCTTGCATCCTCTCTTTAAATTCAGCACTTGACTTTGCAAAGGATATAAAAATGTATAGATCTGAAGCCTCTAGCAATGATTGCACATTTTGCACATGCCCTGGGAACTTATAATCAAGTAGAGCATTTTAGATTCAAAGGGCAGGCTTGATGGGTTACTAAAATTATGTAAATTCGACATTAGATGGATTGGATAAGCAGAGTTGATTCACTGAGTATTCTCTGAAAAGAATTTCTAGGATAGAGATGGGGAGATGGAGGCAAATGCTGAAAAGTAAATTACACAGTAACAACTTTCGGGGTGCTCTATCTTTAATTATGTAGAAAGCCTAAGATGTTCAGAAAGTATCAGAATCGTGGAGGGCAGAAATATGGTGTAAGATTGGAGGGGGGAAACATAAGGTTAGCTATTGGTTACTATATTTTTAGCTTTTGTTTTAGAGATAGTTCATGGAGCTTAGTATATTATTGGATTTAACTAATTACCTACTTCAGTGAAAAACAAGAATACGGTGTCTGAAACAATAATGAGTTTGTCATGAACCAAGGATTATGATTATTCCCAGTTCATGCACCAAGAAGGAGAGAAAGATAAAGGTGAGGGGGAGACAGACAGAGAGAGAGAAACTTAACAAATCTAGAGAGAAAGAGGGTGAGGGAGGAGGAAGGAAAAACAAACAAAAAAAGAAACAAAATGCATATGCTGTTAATTTTTCTTGATATTGAGTCTCTGGACACTCAGAATGGCACTGAGTTTAAAACTGCATATAAGCACGCATTATCTCACCACTCTGCTATTTTTGGGTTTTCAGGTTTCAATTGCTAGGTGGGATTAATTACCGTGAATGTGATGCAGATGGATGGACCAATGATATTCCTATATGTGAAGGTAGACGTAAAATTTTTTACAAGTATATTGAAATACCTTAAATATCCAAGATTTTTCACAATGCCTTACATGAAAATATCTTAAAGTCTTTAATTAAATATTTTTTTGTTTCTCATATAATGTAGACTGGGAATCTCATCTTTTTATTACTACATTCTTGGTGTTTCAAAAGCCAAATACGAATGCAACCTGATCTGATCTAGTAATTGAAGTATTAGACATTACGGAATCTAAAACTCATTTTTATTTCCTTTTGGATTCTAATGACTAGAAATGCATATAAGCATCATTAGCTAAATAAAGACCAGAATTACACCTTTATTAATGAAGAGGCACTCACCCAATAACCACCCAAATGCAGGGATCTATGATAAAAGCTGAAGTAGAGAACATGATTGAGACATCCCACCAACAGAGGTTGTCCTGTGAACTTGCCTTTACTGAAAAGAGGAATAAACTAGGAGCGAGCTCTGTTATTTCTTACTGGTCTATAAAGCTAACAGAGAAATGAGAAAAACGTACGTTCTGTTTTCATGTTTTTAACTAATAATCCCACTCTCTAGTCTTATGGAAATGAAATAATCAATCAGAGCAGTATTTCCTAATTCCACACAGTCAGTAGTAAGTGGAGAGACAGAAGTGTGATAATCATTCAAAAATTCTGTTAACTACAGAAGGTAATGCAAGTTTTTCATCTATGGAAATGAGATGAAGAAGATTAATGTTTTAGAGAGCATCTACTTTGAAACCAACTGGGATGCTTGTTAAAAATTAAAATCTTTGGTTACTAAAAATGACCTGCTCAATTAGTATCTTTAAGGTGAAAATGCAGGAAGATTGTCCTAAAAATTTTTATTTTAACAAGCATACTGAGTCATTCTATAGTATAATAAAGTTTGACTACGACTTTAGAGAAATTGGAAAATATTAAGTAGAATCAAAAGAAGTACTCAAATTATTTTGGACACTGATGTTGAAGAGGATGAAAAATTAAGGATGATTTCTCTATTGAAGTTAATGTCATAAAGTTTGCTTTTACATCTTTTAGGAATGTGGTGCTATATTATTCTGGAGCATAAATGAAAATGTTGTATTTAATTATCCCAAGCTTTGTGTTTCTTAATTATTTAAAAATACTTGTTTGTTCATACAAAAATACAAGCTAGCATTCACAGTAGTAATTTTCACTGTCCACTCCCATAGAAAATATCAGGAATAAACATTCCATTTGCTTGTTTCTTAGCAGCATGTATCTCTAGCAAACAGGTATATCAAATGCTTCTAAAAAGAATTTAAATAATTTCCTCCAGTCTTATCCTGAGGGAAAATTTATACATACATATGTTTTTCATAATACATTTTAAAATTTCATTAGAAAACATTACATTTATTTTCTTCAGTTGTGAAGTGTTTACCAGTGACAGCACCAGAGAATGGAGAAATTATCAGTGGTGCAATGGAATCAGACCGAGAATACCATTTTGGACAAGTAGTACAGTTTGCGTGTAATCCAGGCTACAAGATTGAAGGAGATAAAGAAATACATTGTTCAGGTGATGGTGTTTGGAGTAAAGAAACACCAAAGTGTGTGGGTAAGATACACTTACTGTTTGAGTATTTTTAGCCTTTTAAATAAAAATATACATTTAAAACATCATTCATTCTAAAGAATATCAGCAATATTAACAATAGCTAATGTTTGTTGAGCACTTACTATATGCCTGTAATTGATCTTAGTTCTTTGCATGCGTGACTTCATTTTACCTTTCAAACAACTCTATCATTTATTTAATGTTATCACTTTTATTTTATAATTGAAGAGACTAATGCAAAGAAGTTAAATTACGTGCCCTGGATTATCATGGCATACAAGTTAGGATTTAAACATAGGTTATCTGACATCAGAGTCCATGTTTTAACCATAACTCCAGGGTACTTGCTTCTTAGGCTGAAAGAGAATGCTAAGTATTTCTGCTGCAAGTTGTAATATTGACCTCTGGAATAGACATCTGTTTTTAATTTTGAAAGTCCAAAGATTCGTTATGTATTTCCAGCGATGGATTAGGATGACTTTCTGTTTTTGAATAACACTTCTAGGAAGCAGACCTGTTTTATATTTGTTCTATAAGTTTACTATAAATATTGCTGAATTGAACAGAATCTACTAAATAAATCTTTGTCTCTTAAAAAAATTTTAAAGTATAAGGCAAGACTTTCTAAGTCATAATACTGCCAACTTGTGCATCATGACCAATCAATGATTTTGGCTTTTGTAATAAACATCGTAGGTTGATTTGTCTAGTAGTACCATAGTTCAAGTTCATTTTACCAATAATTATTAGGAAGAAGTTTCTGGCATGTTTATATTTAACATTATCTAAAATTCTAAATTATTTATACTTTTAAAGTCTAGTCTATCTTAGAGTTAGTTACAGAGAAAAGTATTTCTCTTCTTAACTCTTTCTAACAACACTGGTTCTTTATGATAAAAGTTAATATTTTTATTCAGCGTAGCAAATATTATGTACTTTAGAAGTTCATAGATGGAATTTACATCCTTACAACTAGAGTCCAATGGTTAGTGAAACCTTCCTGGAATGGCTGATGCCTACAATTGAGTCCTAAAGGAAAAAAAAATGAGATTTTTTAGATGAAAATGAGAGCAAAAGCATGCCAGAGTGAGTTCATGGAAAGGGAAGTGGAAAGGCAGTGAGGCTTAGTAAGGAGCATGAAGCGCCACTGATTCTTACTCATTGTTCCTAGTACAGAATGCAAATAGGGAATGAGTGTGTGATAAATTGAAGGTGGGCCAATACGGAGTGATGGGGTGCTGCATACACCATGCTGAAGAACACACCTTTTATTCAGACTGATTTGGGAATCACTGAAGATTCAAGTGAAATAACAGTGTGACTGCATGAGAGGTTATTAAGTTATACCTACAGAGATGGATTAGAAAGTGGGAGAACAGGGTTTGGGAAACTACTTAAGATTGGTCCAATCCCAGGTAAAAATATTTGACAGAAGTGGATGTAAAAGATGATTGCCAGTTTTTTCCTACTGAAATCCTGGATAAATGGTGATGACACAAAAACAGGTCAGCTCCTTTTCAGAAATGTAATGACAGGGAGTTAAATGAATCTCTTTGACAAAGAGTCCTCTAGATAATTGCTGTCTTATCAATAACTAGAAAATGTGTTATTTTTGCAGGTCATTCAGTGAAAACATTAAAATAAAACTCTATCTATGGTCAGTTTCATATTACACTTGGTGAATGTTGCTGATCACTATGTCAAGAAGGATAATTTATCCTTAAACTAAATAAAGTTAGAAGCATAATTTTAATCAGAATTTTAATTTTTTTCAGATAAATAATTGATTAAGTAGTCAAGTTAAAATGAAACTTTCGTTTAGTGGACCGATTTACCTGATGGAAACAAAATTTCTGTTTTCATATAATTGTGTTTTGGTCACAGTCCTTTAATTTGCAATAAACATTTTGGAATTTGATCCTTTCTATTTAGAAATTTCATGCAAAGCGCCACACGTTATGAATGGATCTCCTGTATCTAAGAAGAATATTTTTAAGGAGAATGAACGATTCCAGTATAAATGTAACATGGGTTATGAATACACTACAAGAGGAGATTCTGTATGCACTGAATCTGGATGGAATCCATTACCTTCATGTGAAGGTAATGTTATATTTATTTTCTGCATCTTTCGCTATAAATTTATCACTTATTTAATTATTTTAATAAAGCAATTTATTTTAATCAAAAGTAGACTACTAATTTATATAAACTGTTATAAAACATAAAGAATTTTTTTGTGTTCAAGGTTCATTTTGAGAACACCTTGTATGATACACACACTCTGAAAATAGACATAAACGGGTCAGAAAGGTTCAGTTGTTTGTTATTAGTCTATCATTGAAAATCATGTCTGGAGCAGAGCCGAGACTATATATAATAGACTTCTTAATTCTCAGTAATATACAATTCTCAAACAAGTATATTTGCTCCTCTAACACCAAGAATTTATTTAAATAATATTAATATTTTAAAATACTTTAAAAGTAGCTTGTATTAATACCAGGCGAGGAAACTGTCAACTGACAGTGGAATTAAGTGGAAGGAAATGAATGTTTTTATTAACCACAGGCCTAGTATGACTCAACAGCGATGATGGTGCTGGAAAATTAAAAAATAAAAACAACCCCACTCTCTTGGGTTTCATCATGAAATAATGTTATACAGAGCCAAAGGGTTCAGCTCAGCTGTGCTGTTTGCCCACCAAAAAATACATCTGGAATAGGGTGTTCTACTGAATGTACTTCATTTTAAAAGGGAAAGTTTCAAACTATCATGACCTAGAAAAGAGAATATAGACAGTTGTGGACTTTAAAAAATTATGCTGTAAGAAGTATAGTAAGAAGATACAGCTATAGTGTGGCAGTAACTTTTGAGATATTTTCAAACATTTGCAAAAGGAGTGAGTTTGCTTTTGATGAGGTCTGCTGCAGTGAGTGAAACGAGGAACAGTGTTAGCACATATGGTCCTGTAATCTAAAAGGGAGATACTGTTATGCTGTGAGAGAAAGAAGAGTTGAACTCTTAACGGCCCTCTGAACTTTAAATCCCATAATTCATGAATACGTGTTTAAATCTTGCTTTAGTGATTCTCTTTTACAAAAAGCATAGTTAATTTTGGTTTAATTTTATACACTAAAAACATTTTTGTTTGCGCCCACAAGTGTCTCCTCGGAAAACATATATTTCTTCACAATTGCGTGATCTCTACTTTTAGGAACTATTAAGAAAATATTTTAGAAAGAAATTAATGAACATGAGACAGTAATAACCCACATCAGATCCGTGTTTGGCTAATGGTGTGTGGGGTCCAACTGTTTGTCTTCATGGCATTCATAGTTCCTAAGCAAAGGAAGTACATGCACAAGTCCTTTGGCATTAACTTCTGCTTGCAGTATATTACTTCAAATCTATAGTTAATTTATCCATCCAATAATCAGAATGCAACTTATAAAATACTTAGTTTACATCAGGGCCTTGCTTTGTATTGAAGATAAGCATTGCAATAAACCACCTTTCCAGCTTTCAATGAATTCAAAATAAGACTCTGGGAATTTAGTTTTCTAAGAACATGTGACTCTGTTGCATGACTGCCTCATTGTAGGCATCTGATTATTTCATCTCTTTTACTTGTTCACTTTGCTACCTACTTAAAACTCTTCTTTAGCACATATTTGTTTTCACAATGGGAAATCCGTCTGTTTTTCCCAAATGTGTTACTGCATTTCTATGCTTGCTTTTCTTGAACACGTATTGATTTATTCACACACACACACCCCCCCAAAGACTCAAAATTTATAAAACATTTATTTTTATAATTTTTTTTTCCATTTCTCAGTCACAAGTACAAGTAAAACCTGAATATTCAAGACTATGCATGTGGGTCCTGCTTTCTTTAGGAAGACAGATACTAAGAGAAGGCACTGGGATTGGGTACTCTTTTTCAGAAGACAGTTCACTAATAATCAATATAAATAAACATGAATTCATGCAAAATTAGATAAGCATACACCGTCTCTTACCACATTTTATTTTATTGAAATATATTTTACATTAATTAGATATAGAGAAGTCGTTATTAATAAACGAATTCCACTCTTTGTATGCTAACCTTTCTGACCCTATTTATGTCTTTTGTAGCATAAAAATTGCTCTTTATTTTCTTTGTACAAAGCAAAGTTCTACTTGCTGATATAAGATGAATTTGAAATCTATATCCATTATTTTATCTGAAATCAGTTACCTTCAAACCTCTTTGTTGCGTCTAAATCTATAAGTAGTTTGGAACTAAGTAATAAAATAATATTAAAGTAAAATAATCCGCTTAAATTTTAAATACTTAAATTTTCTTCAATCTGGTATATACATGTCAGAGGACTGATTTGAAGGTGAATTGTCAAAACTTTAGTCTCTGCGTCCAAAGGGACAATCTGTAATGGAAAGTCATTTACCGAAAGTATCAAAGGTACCAATTCCTGCTAAATGAAAGCTTTCTTCAATCCAGATCTATCTCTTCCCTGTACAGATTGGATTTTCTTTTTTTTTTTTTTTTTTTCTTTTTTTGAGATAGAGTGTCGCTCTTGTTACCCAGGCTGGAGTGCAATGGCACGATCTCGGCTCACCGCAACCTCCGCCTCCTGGGTTCAAGCAATTCTCCTGCCTCAGCCTCCCGAGTAGCTGGGACTACAGGCACGCGCCACCATGCCCAGCTAATTTTTTGTATTTTTAGTAGAGACGGGGTTTCACCACGTTGACCAGGATGGTCTCAATCTCTTGACCTCGTGATCCACCCGCCTCGGCCTCCCAAAGTGCTGGGATTACAGGCTTGAGCCACCGAGCCCAGCTCAGATTGGATTTTCTATTGGTTCAAAACATACAGTGCTAACCTTGAATTAGTATTCTAACTTCAAATGTCTAATGGTTGTTCTAAGAGTAGGAAAATATGGATAGTCTCAAATATTGTTTTGGATAGAGGTACAGGTTCAGGGAATGTTTTAATAATATCATTTTTTCTAAAGGAGATTGTGAGTGTAAGAAATTAAGGTTTATCGTGGGATTTATGTCTCCTACTTGAGCATAATCTCCAGAAGTCCTTCTATTCTTAATTAACAAAATTGTCCCAGTGTTATTTTATTGATTTCTTAAACTCTTATTTTTTGTATCTCATAGCTTTTGACCTCAAAAACTACTATTAAATTGAGCTATACCATAAGGAAAAATAATTGAAGATATATAAACTGAACTTCAATGGGTATATGAAAATATGATCGAGCAGAATAAACTGACAGAAAAAAACAAAAAAGGAACACATTTAAGGCTCATTTGAAGTTAGTGTCAACATCAAACACTGAAGCCATATTTTACTTAAAATAGTAAAATTTTAAAATAGTAAAACTTTAAAACTTATATATTAAGTCACTTTCTTTCTAATGTAATTATTGCTAACATAAATGTATTATCCTGTTAGCTATAGAAATATATTAAAGCTTATTCTGACAGAGTAGAGTATAAACTTAGGAGCTGAATGGACACAGTGGAATTATGGTATTGAGAGGAGGAAATATATAATGAATAATTAAAACTTTATAAAATTTTGTGTTTGACTAAATATACAAGTGATGAGAAAGTGATGTGGGGGAAATTTGCAGGTTTCTGTCATGAGGGTTCTTTCACAAATTAAGATATTGAGTATAAAATGAAAAGCATATTTTGAGAAAAGTATGATGATTTAGTTTGTCACATAATAAATTGCATATACCTTTGAATTTTACACATGGCCTGCCTAGTGTGAAGATACAATTGGTATATATGGACTTGAACCTCACTGACAACGTTATTAGCATCATGATGGCAGCTTTTATCTTGGAAGTATCTATCTTTATTCACACAGAGAATGTGAAAAGGAAAACATCAAAATCAAGGACAAATATTCATGTAAAACAAACTGTAAGGGAGTCATTCATACAACACCTATGAATGGGCTTCAGGAAAAAGTTCAAAGGTAGTGATAAAAATCAACATGAAGATCTAGGGCAGAATCACTTTGAAACAAGAAATAGCAAGTACAAATTACAGGAATAAGCTTGGGACATGTGAAGACCCAGACAGAATGTCTGAGTGCAGGCTGGGCATGGTGGCTCACACCTGTAATCCCAGCACTTTGGGAGGCCGAAGCAGGTGGATCACTTAAGGTCAGATGTTCAAGACCAGCCTGGCCAACATGGTGAAACCCCATCTCTATTAAAAATACAAAAATTAACTGGGTGTGGTGGCACACGCCTATAGTCCCAGCTACTCTGAGACTGAGGCGGAAGAGGAGATTGAACCCAGGAGGAGGAGGCTGCAGAACGGAGATCGTGCCACTGCACTCCAGCCTGAGTGACAGAGTGAGACTCTGTCTCTAAATAAATAAATAAATAAATAAATAAATAGAATTTCACAATGGTGGTAGCATAGAGAAGACAAAGAAAAATGGTAGAAGACGAAATGTGACAAGTAGGCAGGGCCTAAAAGTTAAGTAGAAGAGAAGTCAGCTAAAAATATAAAATAAAGGAAAATAATAAAATATAAAAGAAAAGCATCACTCAGACAAAGACAAAGAGAAGCAGAACAAATAATATAAGGCACTGGAGAACATCAAAAAGTCTGTGATTAACAGTGTTGAATATTACAGTTTTATCTGTTAAGTTCAATAAATAATTAAGAAGTCCACAGGACATACCAGTGACTGGAATATGTGAAATGCAAAGTGTTCCTGAATTTGGACATTGGAGCTCATTGGTAGCCTTTATCAGAGCAATGGCAACAAAACAGAGGTGTCAGAAACCAGGTGGCAGTGAGTTGAAGAATAAATGAGAGATGGGAAAGTGGAGGTAGCAATTATAGAATGGTATTTTAAGGATTTTGGTTTTGAAGGGGAGGAGAAGTATAATACATTTGCTTCAACAAAGGGTTGAGAGCAGGGACTTAAAATTGGAGAAGGTTGCATATCAATAAGACCGTGACTGATAGGTAAGAGAGAAGGAAGGAATAAACAAGGATTTAAGATACAGGGGAAAAGGAAAAAATTAAGTTAACCTGAATTTGAAAGAAACACCTTGCCGTTGAAGACTAAACAAAAGACAAATCAGTCTAGATACAGCTAATGTTGAGGAACGCTGGAAGGAAATACAGGGAACTTACTACTGGTAGTCTCAATTGTTTTGTGTGAATGAAGGTTTACTATCTGTTGATGAAGGAGCAATTGTTTTAGGTGGCTGGAGAGAAGTGAGGAGACTAGGAATCATTTACTATGGGAAATCAATTAGTAAATAAATTAGGGGTATATAAATGGAATTTCCACAATGCTGAATGTTCACCACAGCTTTTTAGTCCAAAATAAAGTATGACCCCAATATAAGTGGTAATATAACTTTTCTGCAATACTTAAAATGCGTAGCATTTTATTTAAAAAGGAATATTGCAAATGGATCCAATATTGAGATATAGCAGAGTTAATGGAAAGGAATGAGAAGGTGCTTTATAAATCAGGACGGACTGGGCCAAAGGATTGCAAATGATGGGCTGCAGGTAAAATATAACTTGCCCCCTTTGTGTACACAAAGTTTTATTGAAAGACAGCCATGTTCATTTGTTTGTGTATTGTTTATCACTACTTTTGTGCTATAATGGCAGAGTTGAGCTGCTGCAGCAGAGACCTTTTATCTGGCCCTTTACAGAAAAGATTTTCCAGCCAAGTGTGGTGGCTCAGGCCTGTAATCCCAGCACTTTGGGAGGCCTAGGTGGGAGGATCACCTGAGGTCAGGAGTTCAAGACCAGCCTGACCAACATGGAGAAACCCTGTATTTACTAAAAATACAAACTTAGCCAGGCTTGGTGGCACATGCCTGTAATCCTACCTACTTGAGAGGCTGAGGCAGGAGAATCACTTGAACCCAGGAGGTGGAGATTACAGTGAGTGAGTTTAGATTGTCCCACTGCACTCCAGCCTGGGCAACAAGAGCAAAACTTCATCTCAAAAAAAAAAAAAAAAAAAAAAAAAAAAAAGAAAGAAAGAAAGAAAAGTTTCTCCAAACCCTGTGCTATTTTATCTCATTATAGTAAGAAAAATGTATTGCAATATCTCAATATCTTAATATTTAAGAGATTGAGACTAAAGTTTATTTTCATTCATGTTCACTTACGTAGATCAGAAGAGACTACTCATTGTATTAACTGTAAGAATCAGTGAGAGAAGCATCATCTTTTTATGTCCTTCTTTAATCACAATGTCTGTGGATAAGAGAACATAAAAATTCATACTATGGCTGTTAAAACTTCCTTTCTAAAGTGAAATATATTACTTCCACTTTTATTACAGTGTCCTACACAATCACTTGGCCACTTCAAAAAGGAAGGGTTATGAAGTCCTATCAATTGTCCAGAAGAAAGAAACCCTGAATATTTGTAAATAGTCCTTATGAGAACCACAGACACCAAGGAAGTATAAAGCAGAAGTAGTAATTGAAGTTATATATGATGAGATCATTGCCAGTTACGGAAAATCATGAAGTATAGGATGACTTTGGAGAAAAAGGGGTTAAGCCACCAGGAAGTACAAATAAATCAGATGAGAATATAGTGAAGGGAAAAATAACTGGTATGCAAGAAAGGATACTATGATTTGTTCATTTTAATGCAATTTTTTGCTTTGTTAAGAACAAATAACACCTACATTTTTTTCAAATTTATTTATTTAATTAAAAATTGCAAATACTATGATGAATGAAATTAAAGGCCTCTGACCACAAAGTTTACACTGTAGGGTTTGAAAAATAAAGACAATTAGATAATAAATAATCCCTCATATAGTGCTGGTTGTATAAATTGGTACTATATTCTGGAAGAGGGCTTACCAATGCCTATACAAGCTGAAGCTAGAAATATATCTTAATTATATTTGTGGTTAAATAGCTACATAATTGCACAAATTTATCTTTTTTTAAAATTGTACTTTAAGTTCTGGGGTACATGTGCAGATTTGGCAGGATTGTTGCATAGGTACACACATGCCATGGTGGTTTGCTATCTCCATCCTACCATCACCTACATCAGGCTTTTCTCCCCAGCTATCCCTCCCCAACCTCTCCACCTCCCGCTGTCCCTCCCCTCGGCCCCCACCCAACAACAGAACCCAGTGTGTGTTGTTCTCCTCCCTGGGCCCATGTGTTCTCTTTGTTCAACACCCGCCTATGAATGAGAACATGCAGTGTTTAGTTTTCTGTTCTTGTAATAACTACTTTTGAATGTTTATATAAATGATGAATTTTAATGGATACTTATTTCTGCATTAACCACACATCCTTTACTTTTCAGAAAAAACATGTAAAACTCCTTATATTCCAAATGGTGTATACACACCTTTAAGGACTAAACACAGAGTTGGAGATGAAATCAGGTATGAGTGTAACAGTGGTTTTTATCCTGCAACCCGGGAAAAAACAGTAAAATGCACGGGTACTGGCTGGATACCTGTTCCAAGATGTACCAGATGTAAGTTCTATTCATATCTTGACCCATTTCTTAATTCTGAAATTTCTTTTAAACACATAAAAATGGGGACTAAATAAAACCCAATATTTGTCTTATTGGTGTATATAAAGTAAGGCTGTTGCAAGTATTCTTTAGTTTTCAAAGTTGCCAAAACTCAATTTTTTTGGCCACTCAAAATTAAATGTGTATGTGTGTTTATGAATGTATGTTTCTCTAATTAATAACATTCTTCCAATATCTGAATTAAAACACTAGATAAAAAGTGTCACCTAATGCATACTATATTAATTATTTGTTGCATTGTAACAAAATTCTGCAAAAATATATTTGCTTAAAACAACACACCTTTATTATCTTACAGTTACTGCGGGTGAGGAATCTGAAAATGGCTTAGATGGGTAGTTAGGAATCAGATTGTGTTCTTGCACTGCAGTCGGGATGATGGCCCAGGCTACAGTGATCAGAAGGCTTGGCTGGGCGGGAGAATCTGCCTCTAACATTGCTAACACACATGGTTCTTGTCAGGAAGCCTCAGTTCCTTACCATATAGGCCTTTCCATGAGTTAATGAAATGGCAGCTTTCTCCAGTGCTACTAGTCTGAAACAGAGTACAGGAAGCCACAATACCATGTATTAGTCTGTTCTCACACTACTAGAAAGAACTACCTGAGACTGGATAACTATGAAGAAAAGAAATTTAATCGACTCACAGTTCCACAGCCTGTACAAGAGGCATGGCTGGAAGGCCTGAGGAAACTTAAAATCATGGTTGGGTGAAGGGAAAGCAAGCAGATCTTACCATGGAAGAGCAGGATAAAGAGCAAAGGGGGAAGTCCTGCAAACTTTTAAACACCCAGGTCTCATGAGAGTTCATTATCATGAAAAGAGCAAGGGGGAGGCCCACCCCAGTGATCCAATCACATCCCATCAGGTACCTCCCTCACTACTGGGAATTGCAGTTCAACATGAGATTTGTGTGGGGACCCAGAGCCAAACCATATCAATCTTCTGCTCATACACTGTTAACTTCAGCCCTATCTATTCTTTAGAAGTGAGACACTAAGTTCAGCAAACACCCAAGGGGAGAGAAATTAGGCACCACTAATTGGAGGGAGGAGTGTTGAAGGACTCCAAGTCTTCGTCATTTCTTAGTGTTAAAGGTAATTTCCTAAAACCACCACATGTAGCAAAATACACGTCAAGTCAACAGAGCATTTTATTTCTGGGATGCTCCTTTGCCCATTTTAAAAGGTTTTTCTACCTCTACAATTAAATTTCTTTTCTTTCTATCTAACAGTACATAGTCAAGATGTACCACACTTAAACTATATAGTCCATGAAAGAAAAAGATAATGATACAGATGATTGGTCAATGACTTTAATTTTAATTCCCAGCATAATTCCAGTCCCTAAGAGAGAAAGCTATTATCAGTATGAAACAGATTTCAATGTGCATAAGAATTATCAGGAAAATTATTTAATGATTTTATGGTTTGCTTATGACAATGTAGTTCAGCCCAAATGTATCTGGACCATCTGAGTCTCAACTATATCTGGATTTCAATTATTAATATTTAACAGTGAACCATCTGGAGTTCTCATAGGCAAGATAGAGAAGTTGACCTGTTATATGGTTTATCCATTTGTAATTTCATTTAATAACCTTAATCTGATTATCAGATGCAGGACTTTAGTCTCAGGCCTGCTTCATTACTCAGTTGCTCCATTGAAAAGTTTAATGACTTAGGGGAAACAGTACAAAGATACAACTGGATGATACAGAGGATGATAGTAATGAATCTGCATTAGGGCAGATTCAGCAGTTCAAAGAGAATCTTATGTGCTAAGCTGAATCTAATAAGATGAAATTTAACAATGTTGACTCTAAGATCCTAGGCTTGGGTCAAATAAATTACAGTATGGATATATTAGCATCAGTTATAAAAATTAGTGAATATTTTAATCAATGTTAAGATCCGTTTCAGCCGCTATGATGGAAACACCATAAATGCTACGAGACCAAAAACCACATTTGTAGAAGTGTAAGAAGTAGAATGAGCTGTCAAGTCCTTCTATTGTCAGTGCTGATGAGACCCTCTGTGGGTTCTGATATTTGCTTCAAGGAACCACTTTGTAAAAAGGATACAGACAGATGTAAATGTGCCAAAATTAAAAAATAGCTAAGTAGCTTAAGCCTGTGGCAATGATGTATGTTTATAATTATGCCTCCTTTTTATTCCTTTTGGAAAGGAATCTCAGGGAACAATTTTATTTTATGACATTCTGTAACATACTGTAATAAGATGGGTACTCATACTTTTGAAGTGAACCACAAGCTTTCAAATCTCTGCTCTGCCATTTAATGTGAAATGCAATTGAGTTCTTTAAGACACCATTCCTGCAAATCCAAGACTCAAGCTTTCCCAATGCAGAATTATTGTTAAATAAAAATGTCTTGACAGATCATAAAATTGCTAAGATCCAATGGTAAATAGAAAATATTCACAGTCTTTAAAAAGTGGTGGGGAAAAATGTAGAATGTTTCTTTAAAAAAATAGTAAACAGGCCGGGTGCGGTGGCTCAAGCCTGTAATCCCATCACTTTGGGAGGCCGAGGCGGGTGGATCATGAGGTCAAGAGATCGAGACCATCCTGGTCAACATGGTGAAACCCCGTCTCTACTAAAAATACAAAAAATTAGCTGGGCATGGTGGTACGTGCCTATAATCCCAGCTAATCGGGAGGCTGAGGCAGGAGAATTGCCTGAACCCAGGAGGTGGAGGTTGCGGTGAGCTGAGATCGCGCCATTGCCCTCCAGCCTGGGTAACACGAGTGAAACTCCATCTCAAAAATAAATAAATAAATAAAAATAGTAAACATTTTAATTGCAGTCTGAAACATTTCAGTGAAACAACGAAAGTAAACTGGAAGCTTGAAATAAATAGGGAAAAGCCTATCAATTATAAGATATATGGATTGTAGGCCAAGAAGCCATACTAAAGAAGTATCATTCACTAGTCTTTGTTAGAAAAAGATATTTATGATATACAGTGATTCAGCTTATAATCCGTATAATAAATGTTTGTAGAATTGACATAAAAATTTCTCTAATCAAATATCAAGAAAATAAATAAATCACTGAATTTAAGAAAGATGGAGATGAAAAAGAATACTTATTTGTATATATGTGTGTATTGAAATTCTTTTTAACCTGTTGTGTAAGGTTTATTGAAATAAAATCATATTTCATAGTAAAAATACCACTTTGTTAAGTACTAGATAATCTATTTATAATCTCACAAAAAGAGACAATTTTCTGAAAAACATATAAACCTGTTAATATAATAAACAATATAGCACTCAAATGTATTAGTCAAAATTAATATATAAAAACTTGGTAAAATGTAATTGTATTGTACCTGATTTAAAATATTTTATGACATTAAAATTATTTTGCTCTTCAATTGAAATTGGGAATAAACTAAAAAGTTTATTATAATCTTAAATATTTGGATATTAAGAAAGTTTCCTAGTCTATTTCTCTGGTTAAATAAAGACTGGAAAATTTAGCTTAGTGAATTGTTTGAGGCATGAATTAACTATGTTATTTTTCTGTGTGGTATTATTAAAAAAAAAAGTTTTCGTGTCCCTCTATATTTTTACATTGTCTTAAATAGGAAAAAGCCTAATGAATCTATCTATCTATCTGTCTGTCTATCTGTCTGTCTATCTATCTATCTATCTATCTTTATTTTTATTTTTAGAGACAGAGTCTCACTCTGTCACTCAGGCTGCGGTGCAATGACACAATCTTGATTCACTGCAACCTCTGCCTCATGGGTTCAAGTGATTCTCTTGCCTCTGCCTCCTAAATAGCTGGAATTACAGGGGCACACCACATGGCCTGGCTAATTTTTTTTTACATTTTTAGTAGCGACAGGGTTTCACCAGGTTGGCCAGGCTGGTCTCAAACTCCTGACCTCAAGTGACCTTCCTGCCTCAGCCTCCCAAAGTGCTGGAATTACAGGCATGAACCACCGTGTCCAGCCCATGAATTAAATCTAAAACAACTAAAAACCTTAAATCCCTCAAAATACTACCTCCTTACATTGAGTGGTTCTGAGAAGAAAATTCAGGGCTTTGTTTACTGATAAGAATAGAAAAGAAATAAAAATACATAAGCTAAGTGGTAATATTGCCATATTTCTCAACTAAAAAGCTCATTTAATTAGCCAAGGATAGGGTATGTGTACTCAAGGGGAGTACATTAAACAGGTCTGTATATTTTTCTTTCTGGAGAGACTTCATACAAATTTACCCATCATGTGACCCACAAGACATAATTGCATCTTCATTAATAAAGACCTTCTCGTCATATTTCTCAGTCATCTGAGTTCTATCATTTGTTTTGACCTAGAAACCCTAATGGAATGTGTAATTATGCTAAGAAGAGAATACAATTCAATGATAAAAAATTTATCTTTAATATGATTGTTTATTACAGTAAAACTTATACTTTTTTTGTTTTGTTTTGTTTTTTATTGCAAGTGAAACGTTGTGATTATCCACATATTAAACATGGACGTCTATATTATGAGAGTCTCTATAGCATATACTTTTCTGCACCTGTAGGACAATATTACTACTATTACTGTGATCCAAATTTTGTGACTCCTTCACGAAGTTCCGGTGGTTACATTCAATGCACACAAAATGGGTGGTCTCCAGCAAACCCATGCCGCAGTAAGTAAACCTCTTTACAGCAGTATGTGCATAAAACTTCCAAAGAGTGGAGAGAGGAGAGCACATAAGCGGTTATAACTTGTCTTACGTAACAGAAATAGGGCCAAGAAAAGAGTTGCTCAAGAAAATGACCAAAATGGATGTTTTCTATTATGAGGAGTTCCTCTTGAAAATCACATGAGAAATAAAGACTTTATGAGAATATCTATATAATTTATACATATTTTAATTACAATTAAAGATAAATCATATTTAATATTGATATTTCTTTTTGTACAAACCTTTGTAATGTTTGTCTTGTTATACATTTTTTTGTTTATGCAATTTTACTTAAATATCATAAAAATAATTTTAATATACTATTTTGAGCAAATTTATGTTTCGCATTGATTTATTTATTTATCATTGTTTTGGTCTTTAGGACAATGTTATTTTCCTTATTTGAAAAATGGATATGATACACATTCTGGAAGAAATTTTATACAGGGTGACTCTGTAGAAGTTCCCTGCCATTCTGGCTATGGTCTTCCAGATGAACAGACCACAGTTACATGTACAGAGAATGACTGGTCTCTTACTCCCACATGCATCCGTGTCAGTAAGTACACTGCTCTGAGATCCCAGCATTGAACATGTTTTTCTAAATAATGTAGATGGCATTCTAAGACTCTTCTGCATTAATTGTGGAAAAATGCTTACACCAACTTGTTTTGCCAGCAGATCTATTTAGTTTTCTTTTTTCAATTGTGTATAAATTAATACATAAATTTCTTGATAAATACATAGCAAAGTAAATGCTTTTATTAAAGGCATTAATCAAGAATACAGTAAAAAAGTTTGAACTCCATACTTGTTGGTTAAATTAAGTCACATTGGAGTGGCATCACTGTATGGGGTAAATACCCAAGGTTCATCTCACACCAAGAAGATTAAGGACACAGACATGTACAAGGAGTGAGTTTAGGAGTGCAGGTTTAATAGGCAAAAGAAAGAGAAAAGAGAACAGCTCTCTCTCTTCTGAGAAAGGGGCACCAAAAGGTGAATTCCTGCCCCTGGTGGAGTGCTCTGGATTTTATAAACAGGCTTGGGGAGGCAGTGTCTGATTTATATAGGGCCCAAAGATTGGATGTGTAAATGTGACATTTACATAACGTGCCAGAAGCTGGCAGCCGCACCCTCATCTTGTTGTGCAAATGGTTCTTTGCCTGGCCAGTGCCATGTTGCCTGCTCCTTACTGTACACACGGCTGGCAAAGAGAAGGGAAGATGGAGCTGCCATTGGAACAGGCCTAGTCCCAGGTCGCCTTTTCCTATTGGCACAACTGCTGGCATTCACTCTTGCAAGCCTCCAGCTTGCTAGTCTATGTTTGCAGCTCAGTTTTACAGGCTCCTCTATGATAGAAAAGAAAATGATTTGGGGGCTGATTTTTATTAAAAGGAAAACCTTACCAAGGACACCTGTACTCTCATTACCTGCCTAAATAATTTCTTCTTAACTCCTATATTAACATTAATATGTGCATTGGAATCAATCATTTGACTCAAAATAATAATAACCATATCAACGATAACCAATAATGTCATTCAGATATTCAAGCAGTGTGATGACATTTTTACAGTAAAGCTATTTGACTTTCTCTAGTATATGTAAGTACAAATGGGTTTTCTGGGATATTGTACACATTCTACTCTAGAAGGTTTCCTATAATATTTATTCCAATATGCATTTAGATCAATGGTTCCTTCTTGTTTTATGTGCAGTTAATGAGTGGTGATGTCACATTTTAATATTTACAAATTTAGTGTCTATAAAATGTTATAGCATTGTACTGTAAATACTTTGTAGTATAATATAAAATTTCTTCGATTACTAATTGGGTTTAGAATATATATTCACAGTTTAATTGGTATTTAATGATTGTAATCTTTCGAAATGCAGAGTGATTTTTTTTTTTAATTTACCTTTCTGGGAGTTTTGGTATGTATTAGTCCAAATCATCATGCTAATCCAGATGTAAAATCTCTTTTAATTATATTTAATGCAAATGCATTCCTTTTTGTAACTAGTGTTTTTCTGTTCTGTTTTATGCATTATGAACATAAGTTGCTCATTTTACTTCCTCCCTCTCCTCTCCTTACTTTTCCTTTTCTTCCCTTCCCTCCCATTTTTTCCTCTTCCTTCCTTCCTTCCCACCCTTCCTTCCTTCCTTCTTTAGACTGTCCCAAGTTTGTCTGGCTCAGTTATTTTTAAGAATGTTACTATTGGCCAGTACCGGTGGCTCACACCTGTAATCCCAGCCCTTTGGGAGGCTGAGGTGGGTGGATCACCTGAGGTCAGGAGTTTGAGACCAGTCTGACCAACATGGTGAAACCCTGTCTCTACTAAAAAATAAGAAAATTAGCCAGGCATGGTGGTGTGTTCTTGTAGTTTCAGCTACTCAGGGAGGCTGAGATAGGAGAATTGGTTGAACTTGGGAGGCAGGAGTTGCATGAGCCAAGATCACGCTGCTGCATTCCAACGGAGTGAGCAAGGCAGCAAGACTCCATCTCAAAAAAAAAAAGAAAAAGAAAAAAAAGAATGTTACTATTTTACTCTTCATGCTGGACCTATACTTTAGTCAGATTATTTAGATACTTTATTGTGATCATATAATTAACAAGTCCCAGCTTCATCTTCAGATTGAGATATCATTATATTATCAATGTACAGTCAGTTTTCAGTGAATCACAGTACTTTCCAATTTAATAAAACCTAAATTCCTCATAAGCATGTTGTTAAAATAAGCAGAAAAATTTAAATATACTTGAATGAGTGCAGCAGACATATACTGGCGACTAGTATCTGTGTTTTGTTATGTGTACGTTATTCCAGCTAGAATGGGAAATGTTAATTCAGTTCCTCCATGCAGCCCACTGGGGCTGTTGGCTTTGAGATTATTAAACTCTTTCTCTGCTGCAAACTCCACTATCTCAGTGTATTGTTCTGTTGCTGTGCAGCAGACATGCAAATCTGACAGTCTTGTAAGTGTTTGTGGCAAGCCAGGTGGACGTCACTCTCCTTGAGGGCATTTACTCATGGCCTAGTGCCCCCCTGCCACTGGGGCAGACCCAGAGACAAGCCCTAGCAGCTGCTTAGTCCTGATGAACTAAGGACTTCCCCTTAGTTCTCATGTAACCCACAATGCAACCCAGGTGGGCTGCAGCTTGCAAAATTGAAAGGCCTTTGTCTATCTTTCCATGACACAAAAAAGGATTATCTTATTTTTAACATGGCTTGACCTTAACACCCACTGGATTGGGGAGAATGGTGGCCACTGCATGGTTCTCATGCTTACAGTCCCATGCTACTGCTAGATTTGTTTTGTAAGACAAAAGAGAAATGGGATGAAGTCCCCTATGTATATGTTTTTTGTTGCTTTGTAAAAGTAGAACAAAGGAGAAAAAGGGTAAAATCATGATCTAGCAAGAAATTAAAACCAGTTTGGACTGATTTACAAAAAATAAGAAGATGATGACATGTTGGTTCAGTGAAAGGAACCTAGACTCCCCCCTCCTCCACCACATGGAGCAGCTGCAGCAGCACTACTGGCACCTAAGCCAGAGTCCCCAGCCACAAAAATGCACAAATCCAGGGCACAGGAATGATTTCTGCTTCTTATACCCAACAGGGGACTCCATTCAGCGAGGGTGTCACTGTTTCTGAGAGGCAGCTTCCCCTACAACAGTTACCTATAGGAGCGTCGCTGCCACAGGACAGCCTATGGATTTATCTGGCTTTATTCTCTGTTCTCCATTTCCAACCTATTTCATTAGAAAAATAATATGCCTATTTATTGAGAAGATCTAACGTTTATGGACGGAACAGGATTGAAAAAAAGATCCAAAGCTTATGGAGAATCTATTCTCCTCTGTATTTGCTGCCCACAACCCTACCTGAGCGGTTACCCAAAATCTTCTCAGTATTTTGTTGACTGCAGAGAAGCAAAGAGTGGTTTTAGATAAAGCTGAGGAAAAGGCTGATCTTATGCAAACGGACTCTCCCAGTAATCCCGGAAGTGTAGCTGCTCAGATTGCAGTTCCCACCTCTGACCTGGGATGGAATATAAACACTGAAGATAGAGCTAACCTCGAACATTATCAAGACCACATTTCCGCTAGCTTCTGCAAGGGAGTGCCCAAGCAAAGGAGCCTCAGTAAGGTTTAGGAGGTCAAGCAGAAGCCTAATGAGGGTTCCTTTGGAGTTTTTAGATCAGTCTTTGAAGCTTTCAGACAATAAATGGATATTGATCCAGAAGCCCCAGAAAATTTAAAGTTAGGTAACATGATGTTTATCCCACAAAGTGCCCCAGATGTTCAGAGAAAGTTATAAAATATAGATGAGGTTTTGGACATGTTCATATCTCAATTAGTGAAGATTGTTTCCAATGTATTTACTGATCACAAGTTTAAATAGTAGAAAATACAATGAATAACAAAGAGGCAAGCTACTTGTTAGCTGTGGCTCTCACCCTAGTAATCCCTGGACCACAACAAGGGCTCTTATCAGAGGTTCCATCTAAGGTAGGACCACCTGGACCCCCAAAAGCCAATAAAAAGGGACATTTCATTGGAGGTCCCAACCAGTGTGCCTATTGCAGCAGAGGGGACACTGAAAAGAAAACTGCACATGCCTTACAAAGTCTAATGTTAAAAGTGTTAAACAGAGTCAGACTTGTGCCCACCGAATGCCTGGGATAGCTGGGGAGCTCGAGAGAGATGCTGAAGAAAAAGACCAGAAGCGATGGGACACAAGGGCTTCTCCTGACCCAAAAAACACCCTCCATGTTTTCCCCATGTGGCCCCAGATCCTGATGATGGCGAGAAATCAGATTCTCGACTTTTTAGTAGACATGGTGCCACCTATTTGTTGTTAAATACCTGGTTCTCTAAGCTGTCCTGGGAAACTATGAAGGCGAGTGAAATCTCAGGAAAAATACATTCCTCCAAACTTTGTATTGTCAGCTAGAGCAAGCTCATTTAAAGCAGAGTTTTCTATAAATGCGTGAATGTCGTATCCCTTTGTTGGGGCAAGTCTTGTAAACCAAACTAAATGCTAAGATTACTTTTTCTCTGAGATGATTGGACGTCCCTGTGCCTTCGGACCATGCATGTGCTCTGCAGCCACATTATTACAACTAGAGGTTCTTGACAGTGCCCACATCCTGAAGACATACTCCAAAAGGTTAGTCTGATTTGGGTTGACCTACCGCAGTACACACCCCACACTGTGTACGCTCTTTGTTGGAACCGAAGTGGAGCTACTGACTTACTTCGACAAGACTGAATAGATATCAGGCCATCCTCCTGGATAATCCCAGTGTTACTTTGAGAGGTGTTTCTACTCTAAATCCTATACATGATTGCTTATAAATTATTGAGCAAGTTTATTCTATTCAACCAGACTTGACCAAAATTCCCTTTAAAAACCTGGACTTAGAAATATTCACTGAGGAAAGCAGCTTTGTGGACCACAGACAACAGAAGACTGAGTATGCTATGGTAACCCTGGGACAGATCCTGGATGCAGAGACTCTCCCTCCGGGTTCATCGGCACAGGAGG